TTCTTTTTTCCTTTCCCCCCGTTAAGATAGGAGGAATGACGGGTGAAGGGGGGGGTGTCGGCTCCCTACTTTTAGGCCTTCTCACTCTGCTCCTTCTGACAGCAATATAAGTACGGATATGCAACGTGGGTAGAGAAGGGGACAGGAACAGGTGGGGGTCCCCAGAAGCCACCCTGGGAGAGGAGGAGAGCAGCAGGACCCAGTGCAGGCAGGGGTGAAGGGCCGCACCTGGGGGCTGCGGGAGGCGGAGAGGGACGCGGGGCTGGGGGCAGGGGAGGGGAAGGGACGCGACATGCCGCCTTACAGTTTCCCTCAGTTTCCTCTCCTGGTCCAGTTCCCGCTGCAGGCTCCCCGCTCGCTCCTCTGCGGAGTCAGCCTGCTCCTGCAAGCTCCGGATCTTCCTTCTGACCGCCTCCAAAGAGCTCATACCCGCCATGGTGACCGGCAGCGCGGAAGGAGGAGGAGGAGGAGACCGGGCAGGGGCTGCACCGGGAGGACGCTCGGAGGGGCTGGCCGCGAGCCTGCGGGCACGGGCGCGGCTGCTCCACCGTCCCTCCCCGGGCTTGGCTTTGCACTGGCCTGAGCCGCCGCCGCCGCCTTCTCCGCTCCCTCTCCTTCTCTTTCTCCTTCTCCCTCTCCTCCTCCTGGCTCAGCCCCGGAAGTCCCCCCCGCCTCTCCGGGCTAGTCTGAGTAGCCGCGGTTCGCAGAGCAAACAAACCAACCGCAGGCGGGTGCGCGGAGCGCAGCAGGATGCGGGGCTGGGGGCGGGTGGAGCCTGTAGGCAGGGGCCGAGCCGGGAGGGCGCGATGCGCTGGAATACAATGCAGATATTTTCAAGACTACGCAGAGTCCCGGGGAGGGGGCGGGGGGGGGCTTCCTAAGATGCTGGGGGTGGGGTGGGAAAGGGCACCTGGACTGCCCACTTTAGCTCGAGTGTGGTCACTGGCTACACCGGTTTGTGTTTTTTTTTTTTTTGGGGGGGAGTGTTCGCTTCCCCTCCCAAATACACACCTTCTCTCCCCCCAACCCCGCCCCCCAGAAATTAAGTTTTGCTACATTCTAACCTTTCCTTCCCACCCTCGTCCAGGGTGGTGGGGGGCGGGGGAGGGGAGGGATAACGGGACCTGGCTGCGAAGAGCTGGGGCGTCCCCTCGTGGCCGTGGGTAGAAGAGCCACTTTTAAGTACATCGTCCAAGAGGATGCTAGGGCATCCGTCTTGAGGGTAAAGATGAAATGTTTAGTCAGGAAATTAAATGAAGAGCTTTCCTCCTAAAAAAGGAGGAGGATCCAGGCCAAGTCAGGTGTAGAGTTGCCTCTCCCCTCTCCCCCAGGTCTTGCAGGCCTACTTCACTTACCTTGAGGATAAATTCAGAGGATTATGGATTTAAAACTGATGAAGAACTTTGTGGCCATCTAGTTCAACCCCTCTTATTTTGGGCTTACAGCTAGTAAGGGTCAAAGTCAGCACTTGATCCCATGTCTTGCTGACTCCAAGACCTGACACACCTTAAATCTGGGGCATTTGCGGCAAGTGTTTGTCCAGGAGCAGATAACAGTAACAACGTTAAACACGGAAGCCAGGTGCTAAGGGTGAAACTTCCAGGGTATCCCTTTTCCTACTACACAGAAATACCACTTTGAAAGCAAAAACACTGGATCTGAGATCCTGATTGAAGTCCTCAATAAAAGAGGAAGGAGAGTCATTGTGTTCTAATGGATAGAGAGCTGTTTTGACACACACTGGCTGTTTTGACCCTTGAGCAACTCTTTAAGACTATACACTGTAGAGAAAGTGCTACTCTTCATTGGTAGTTCCCTTATTCAATGAAATCACACATCCAATCCTAATCCTAACCTATCTGTAAGATGAATAGTACTAGAGACACTCACCCCAGAGACCTGGTAAGAAAAAAGAGCTGAAAGTGAATATATTTCAGGTTATACAATGATACATTACAGGCTTTCTGTTTTTCTATATGGGAGGGGGACATTGAATTCCCAAGCTTCCCTCCTTTAAAAAAGTCTGTTTTAGGAGAAGGGCAGTGTGGTAATGAAAGGGAAAGAAAAATTTTTGGGGAAAAAAGCTAACAAAAAATTACGAGTGGAGTAGAGTGGAGCACTGGGTGATGGAGAGGGGAAGACACAACTCCACCACTTTCCTAAATCATTTGCAGCAAAACTTCTGGAGAGATTCTGCAGACCTGACAAAGGAAACAGGGCTGGGGAACTTCACACCATGTAGGCCTCATTTCTCACTTTGTTCCACACCATTCATCAGCTCTGTTTGTAAAGCCTCCAGCTCCTCCCCTAAACTCACACAGAATACTCTGACCTCCTTCATTGTGAACTTTTTGGGCCATTGGGGGATGGAAGGGGGGGGTCTAGGTAATACTGAGGAGAAGAAAAGGCACCCTTTAAAGATTTTTAAGTGATGTATGTCACTTAAATAGTTCATTTTTTCTCTAAGAGTATTTATCTTCTTCCTCTAAGTCTTAAGATGATTTTCTCTGGTGGTAAATCACTTTAAATTTAACTCTACTCTAATTAGCTTGGTAATATTGTTTAAATCACTTAACCTCTCTCACTCTTAGTATACCCATCTGTAAATGGGAATAATATTGTATTGTTGAGAGGAAAAACTGAGATAATATATGTGTGATTGTACAATATGGGCTTCAGTCTCATCTGTAAAATGGGAAAGGGGGGGTTGAGGTATTAAACTGGGTGATTTTTCAAGGTCCCTTCCACAGTTCTATCATTCTATCATTTGTTGCCAAACTATTTTAATTCCCCTCCCCATTTAGCTTACAAACAACACTAAAAGATTTAGGGATATAAATCAATATACTTTAACAGTTTCTCTTGGGATAAAATAAGATTTAAAGGAGTCTCAGGAGCCATCCCTGTGTCTTTTCCCTTCTTGTCCTCTTCCCCCACTCCCCAGCTGACTTCAAATATCATCTGCTCCACTCCTGCCCCACCCCATTCCACAGCTCCTTTAAATGAGGCTTTTTAATAAAGGGGCATGGCAGTCAGCACACTGCAGTTACAACAATTATCTTTTTTCCTCTTAAGAGCTCAAGTAGCATTTTTCTCCCTCTCCTGCCTTCACTCTCGCTGAGCTGTTTCCAAATACTCCACATTCTTTTCCTTATAAGGAATATCTCCCCTTGATCTATCAGCGGCTCTTTTGAACAAGCTAAATAAACGGTCCTTCTGGAGAATTTGGGGGTAGACATGCTTCCATCCCTTTAGCCATATACAGAGAAAGACATCTGATCCGAATTACATACATACAGTCACAGAGACATACTTTTTCAGGTTCTCTTTCTAAAATTGAATAGTATAAAGCTATGATTCAGCTGGGACAGTCAGCCCCCTCCTCCCCCAAGAACCTCAATTTCATAACTGAGAACTTTGCTTTTGTCCAAGAAGGATTTCCCCTTTGCAAAAGCATAGCCCTAGAGTTAAAAAAAATATAGAGACTTTTCATTTTAGAGCAATCTTTAGCTCTGATTTACCATGATGGACCATCTTATATTTGTGTTCTCTGGCACACAAAAATCTGCTTTTGTAGTCAACAGTCAACTTAGAATAGCACTTTTCCACAATCATAAATACAGGAAATTATGATTAACATCCTAAGTACTTTCTTATTAACCCACAATCTAAAAAGTACTTCCCTAATTAGGCATCTATCTTAGGAATGAACTAAGTGAAAGCAAAATGAATCTTTTAGAAATCCAGTACTTGACTAAATTTCACAAGGAAGAAGAGGCATCACTTATGTGGAATTATAACGGATAGTGATGTCCAGAGGAATTTGAATGCAAACTTGTTTGAGCTTTAGAGACGTTGACTGTTCATTACACATAGAAGACTATGTGATGCTTGTCAGAAGGCTGACAGGTGGGGCTAGGGGGCTGGGGTAAGGAGGGAGCAGGGGGGCAGATCACACACTATACCATATAAAGCACTGAGCTATATATAACCTCCAGCTTACTTTCTGGATCTAACTCCTACAGACTGCAGACCCAAGCAAGTATCATCTTCCTAGCTGCTCCTTGGGTGGAGGACTATAGCTTTCTTAGGCTGGATCATTGGCATCAAGTGTCTCTAGGCTAGAAAGTCTAGAAGCAGACTTCCTAATCAAAAGCTGCAGTCATTTCAGTCTTTCCAAGGTAAAGCACTGGCCTTAGGCATTCTCAGGCCTGCATTTCAAAGATCTGTGCCCTAGACCCTCAAAATAAAAGAAAGTCCAGGAAAGCACAATCTTCTGTACACAAACCCTCTCTGAGTTTGTAAACTATAATAATTTCTACCAGTAGGTCTGTAAACATCTCAGAAGCAGCCTCCAGATGTCCTGTTTTCCACTTATTCTTTCACCCTCCCCCAAAAAAGGCAGAAATAGAGAGATAAGAATGATGAAATAAAATGAACATGTGCAATAGCGAGTAGGAGGCAGCATCCAGTGAGCTATGCCAATGGTGAGGTGGGTGTGTAGATACTCGGCCAAGAGTAGGTAAAGTGTTTTTCATTTCCCCCCCCCCAAATCCAGTGGGACCCTCGAGGTGCTGGACAGCTGGGCACAGGGGGTGTGACCTGGAGCTCTGAGAGAAGGAGAGGGCAGCTGGGGGGGGAGTGGTATGTGTGTGACACTTACATCTGTCGCCTTTTTCTCCGCCAGCTCCAATTTCTCTTGGGCGTCTTTGAGGGCCTCAGAATACTTGTCCAGCTCATCCTCAGTGCCCTTCAGCTTCTTTTGCAGGGAGACCAGCTCGTCCTCCAGCTGAGAGATGGGCCGCGAGGGAGGGGGAGAGGGCCAGGGGACCAAGGGAGGGGAGTGCAGCAGGCAGCGTGATCGCGCACGGGAGGGGTGTGGGTGCACAGAAACAGAGGAAGGCCAAAGACAGAAAGAGAGGAAGAGGGACAGGGAAGGGGAGAGAGAAAGAAAGAGAGAGAGTTAGACACTTCTGCGCTGGGTGCCCGGCCTCCGGTACCTTGGCAGCGGTTTCGTCTGCGGTGAGGAGGCTGTCCTCCGCCTTATGCAGCTCCTCCAGCACCCGGTCCCGCTCATCCTCCGCCACGCGCAGCAGCTTCTCTTTAGCAGAAATGTCTTCTTCGAGCTGGGGGCGCCGGGCGCGGGGAGCGCGGTTGTGGAGGGGGAAATGTAGAGATACACAAAGACACACACACACAGGCGACAGGGTTGGCTTCAGCTCTTAGGCTGATGTGCCACTGCCCGAGATGGGGGTGGGCTGGCAGAGGTCAGCGGGACGGTGTGTGTGTGTGTGTGTGTGTGTGTGTGTGTGTGTGTGTGTGTGTGTAGACGGGACAAACTGAGGGGAGGTACAGTTTTCTGATATTTTCTATTCTCTCCCGGCTTACAGTGTCTGACCTGCGGGAGTAGGTTCACACATCTGTTCCCTCCAAGAATCCCAATTCGGGCACTGTGGTTTCCTCCCCCCAGTCCCCCAGTGGCTAGAGAATTCTCTCTCAGTCCCAACACTCCCTTCTTTCTAACCATTTGACCATTGAGCCATTCTGTACTGCTTTTCGGCTTTAGAAACAATTTCATCACCCCCCCCATCCCCACTTCTGGGGTAAAAAATAAACCAACAAGTTACGAGTACAATCCCACCAAAATCCAACTACCTCTTCCCAGCTTAATAGCTTAAGTTCAGTAGAACTTTTAAAAGTATAGATCCCTACTTTCTTCTCGTCCCAACACCCCCTCTCCCATGGATTGGTTCACCCCTACACCATCCCCTAGTGCCTCAGTTTAAAATAAAAAGGTGTTTCCAAGGCAGAACATCAGTTTCCTTCAGCACTTGGACTGTTCTCCCATGACCACGAGAGTAGGAGGCAGTAGGGAAAAGGTTCAAGTAGGGAACCAAGAAGTTCACACTCAAATGTGCCGGGCTCATTTTTTGTCTCCCCATTCGAAGTCTAGCTATCCTGGCATGACTCCCAGAGATCCGAGAAGGGCGAGAGGGGCGGGATGGAGGGGCCAGGAGGACTCGGGTCCCTGAATAGGTGGGCTGTGGCAGCTTCCACCGAAGTCCCCAGGGCCGGGGCGGAGGGGAGGAGGCGATGATGGGGAGGAGGGGGGACGAAGGAGGATAACTGCAGACCTGCTTGCTGCGGTCCTCCGCCGCCTTCTTATCGGCCTCCGCCTGCTCAGCCCGGTCCAAGGCATTCTCCTTGTCCAGCTTCAGCATCTGCATCTTCTTCTTGATGGCATCCATGGTGGCGGTGTAGTGAGGGCCTGGGGCAGGGACAGCACACGGAGAGAGCCGGAGCCGGGGACTGAGCCGGAGCTGGGTAGCCGCTGAGGAGGAGGTGCGGCAGCACCAAGGGGGCTGGGGCTGAAGGAGGAGGAGGAGGAGGACGAGGAGGAGGAGGCAGGTCTGTGCTGGGACAGGCAGCCGAGCGGAGTGGGAGCGCTGAGCCGCCAGCTGCTCTCAGATATGTACTTTCCCAAGGGGGCGACCGCATTCCTCCAGACAGCCAATACTTTTTTGGAAAAGTTTTTTTTTCCCTTCCCCCTTTTCCCTTCCCCTCCCTCCTCCCAATCCCTTCCCCTTCTCCCCTCCCCTCTCCACCCTCAGAGGCTGCTCGCCCATTCGCTACTGCCTGCCATTTGACGGTGGATATGACTATATATGGGGCCCGGAGGAGCAGAGGCGGCGGGGCTTTGGTTTGTGTGCCTGTTTCTAAACCTGCGCTCGCCCGAGCCAAGGGACAAGGGACCCAGGAGAGAGGATCCTGGGCTTCCTTGCCCCTGGCACTGGGGAGGAGCTTGAGTGCGAATCCTGATGAAGTCCTATCCGATCGAACTCTTGTGGGCAGCCATTCTCCCTAGCGTCCCTCCTCCCCAACAGTTTTTTCTCTGGCTGGAGAAACTGGGGCGAATTAGAAAAAGGGTTCGGAGTGAGAAAAGAAATTAGGAATTGCTGAGTTTAGGCACTAGGCGTACACACTGCACACCCAATTTTCCAGTCCTGACTGTTCAATTGGGGATGCTGGCATTCCTTTCTCCCAAACTCAAAGCCTCGGGTCTGGGGGCTTTTTGGTCTGCTTGGTATTGCACAGGGAATGTCAAATTGTGCCGTCCCGTCTCTTCCCCACCCCCAACCCTGAGCGTTAAGAGCATTTTTGAGTTCCCTAAAACTTGTTTCCCTCTCCCTCTTTATATCCTCAGAGAAAATGGTACTCTGTAACCGCAGCTAGGAGGGATTGCAGCCTGTCTTTTTGCTGAGCTTCAAACCCAAATGATGTTTGGAAACCCAAAGGTTAGGAGCTTATGATCCGACTTGCCTAATTTTGCAAGCAAGCAAGAGGAAGGAAGTGGCATATGAATATAGGAGCGTAATTTAAGAAATCAGCATCTTTCCTTGTTAGGCATCCAGGAGCCACTTGGCTTAAAAGATGGGATAAATGTAATCCAAGATAACTCATTTTACTCACAAGGTATAACATGGAGAAGGGTAATATAGCAGCCTGCACAGTGAGATCCGTGTCAAAGCAGAGCAATGTTATTAGTAAGCATGGGTATTTCCCCCTCTTCATTCATTCTTGCTAACTCTATTCCCCCAAGGGGAATGAGTCCAGTTCTTTTCTAAGCTTCAGTGTAAGAGGAGGAAAAAGGGGCTGCCCTGGAGGCCCTGGCTGAGAGTCTGGAAGTGGTTGTGGCTAAGTTAGAGAAAGGTCTTGTTAACAGTCCCTATAGAATAATTCACAACCTGTACTACATGAGATACTGAATATTCCCTGGACAGTATCTGAGTAGATTAGGAATGCCAGACAACTTGTAAACCCTTCAGAGGACAATCGTGTTCCCTGGCCAGAATTTTATCAGGTTCCTTACATTAACCTGACTGTCCAATAGAAAATTGCTAATGACTAAAATATTATACTATACTTTAATGGGGGCTTTATGGGAAATATTTACCAGATGATGCTGTGCTGTTATAGCAAAAAGTGTTGAGTTTGGCATCAGGGCACTTGGGTTTGAATAACAACTCTGCCATTTACTATTTGTGTGACATTGGCCAAGCCCCTTCACCTCACTGGGGCTCAATTTCCTCATCTATAAAATGAAAGTGTTGGATTGTTAAGTTGTGACTCTTTGTGAACCTGTGGACCATAGTTTGCCAATATTGTCCATGGGATTTTCTTGGCAAAGATGCTGGAGTGGTTTGCCATTTTCTTCTCCAGTGGATTAGAGCAAATAGAGGTTAAGTCACTTGCCCGGGGTCACACAGCTTGTAAATGAATGAAGTGGATTTGAACTCAGATCTTTCTAGCTCCAGGCCCAGCACTCTATCCACTGAGCCACCTAGCTGCTTCAGTTGGACTAGATGATTTCAAATTAGTTTTGAAATGTTGATCATTGGGACCTTAAACAAGTCTCCGAATCTTAATTTTCTTACCTATAAAATTAGAGGGTTGGATTAAGTGATCTCTAAGACCCCTTCTAATATTGAATCTAGGAATGACTTCTTATTGCCATCAATCAACCAATAAACTTTTATTGAGCATTCACTACGTACAAGAAACTCTGCTTGACATGTTAGGGATACAAAGAAAAAGATGGTTCCTGTCTTCAAGGAATTTACAGTTTATACGGAAAATTTGTTTCAACCTAATTTATTGGAACAAACTTGTACTGAATGCTTACTTTCTGGAGAGCATTTTGCTAAGCTCTGGAGGTTATATAAAATAAGAACACCCCCATCCTACTTTTGCAAGATTTATAACCTATTAGAAAGATATACCATGTACATGAATAATTACAATAAAAATAGAACACAAGGGCATAAAATATTGAACAAAATGAGTAAAACAAAACATAACAGACACAAATGCAAAGCCCTACATCTAAATTTTAAAAAATAAAATCAATGCATGTGTGCAAGATGAGGATTGCCTGATGTTACAGAATTTCATGTAAAAAGTTCATATCTGAAAATATTTAACAACACAAAATATAAGTTCCTCCCTACTAGACTATAAACTTCTTGAGGCCAGGGAAACATTTTCCTGTTTTCCTTTACAACACTTTGCACATAGTTGGTATGTATATTATATACACAGACACACCAACACATACTATGACTAAATAGATGATAGTAGAGTTTTATATAGAACTGCTTGCAAATCTTTGATACATAAACTCTAGCTGTTATTATTATGGCCCCTGGAGTGAAAAATAGAAGAAAAAAATCTTCCCAGAGGAGATAGGTTTGAACTTGCCCTGAAGGATAAGGAACAGTTAGGTGGAGATGATGAGTGAGGGGAATTCTTAGCAGGGGGAATGGCAGAAACAAATGCCAGATGTGGAAATGGACAAGAAACATCCAGGGGACAATCAAAAAGTCTTTTTTTTTTTTTTTTACACAGGATACTCCATCTTCCAGCTCTTCGAATTTTCACTGGCTGCCACCCATACCTGGAATTCTGTCCCTCATCTCTGCCTCCCAGCTTCCTTCAAGTCTCAAATAAATTTCTCCATTCTCAAAGAAGTCTTTTCCTATCATCCTTAATTCTAGTATTTTCCCTCTGAAATTACTTCCAATTTGTCCTATATATATATAAAGATATGCAGCTTGTTTGTACCCAGTTTTTTGCTTGTTTCCCCTCCCATTAGACTGTGAGATCCTGAAGAGCAGGGACTGGGGTTTTTCCACCTTTCTTTGTATCTCCATCACTTAGCAGTGTTCCTGGCACATTGTTGTTGTTGTTGTTCAGTCTTTTTTCAGTTGTGCCTGACTCTTTGTGACCCCATTTGGGTTTTTTTTTTGGCAGAGAACCTGGAGTGGTTTGTCATTTCCTTCTCTAGCTTATTTTATAGATGAAGAAATTGAGGCAAACAAGGTTAAATGACTCATCCAGAGTCACACAGCTAGTGTCTGAATCCAGATTCGAACTCAGGAAGATGAGTTCCTGACTTCAGGTCTGGCACTCTAAACACTCTGCCACGTAGCTGCTCCTGGCACATAGTACGTGTTAATAAATGCTTGTGGACTTGATTTGCCTGGTGCAGAGGGGTATGGGAGTAATGGGAGATAAGGCTAAAGAGATAGGTTTGGCTCAGATTATGATGACTTTGAATGTCATATTAAGGAGTTTGGACTTTATCCTAAAGTTTGAAGTCACCCTTTTCTTTCTATTCTAATCCCCTTGTTCCCCCTAAACATACAAAGGATTTATACAGAGTATCCCGAAAGTTTTAGTTTTAAGCTATTGGAACTTTTGGAATGCCTTGCATATACTACATTTAAGATCTGAGGTCTGTTACATCCAGAGATAGAGATAGAGGTAATGGTGTGGTGGGGATGGAATACAGTCTCAGGATCACATAGTCATAAATCATTGATCATCAGCTAGATGAGCTGACAGTACTCTGAGCAGGGTTCCTGGAGCCAGTAATTTTCATTCTTAACACTGATGAGATTCTCTCTCATTTGCATCCTACCTACACTATAAGGGGAACAACAAAGATCTGTGGGATCAAACAATGAATTCTCTGTTGATAAAGTACATTAGCCCAGGAGTTCAAATTACAAAGTACAAGCCTGAACACTCTAGTGCTCTTTTTTGGCTCTATAGACAGTTGGGAGATTTGTGGGAAAACCACTAACTTTCTAGGAATATCTCCATGATTTCTTTGTAAATGTAAATAAGTGGGAGGAGGTACAGCCAGGTAAGGGAGAGCTGGCGAGGGGAAAGTGTCCAAGAGACCTTGTTTTGATTTCAATATGTGGAAGTTTTTATGCTGAGAATTAACTACTCTGGCAGAATAGATATGAGTTGCTCTGTCAGTGTGTGCTCTCCAAAACTGGCTTTTTTTGAGGTCATTTAAATTAGGATCTGAAGTGTCCCAGTGTCCCTGTGGTGAGGTTGAATCCCCTCTGGAGTAAACAGTCCTGAGACTTGAGTAAATAAGGAACAGGGATGAATATGTAATTAAACTGAGACACAGTTGATCATCCACTGTTTCTTTGGAATGTGAGATAAAACAATACTTATGGCTCATTGTTTCACAGAACAAGCTATAACATGATCTGGCAACAACAATGGAGTTTTCTTTCTCCTGTGCTTTACAAAGCTGGGAGCTAGGTCTGATGGAAATTAATTCCTGTCTCTAAAGGAGGATCTGGAGGACGAACTTCAGACTCTAGGACAGCAGGGCAAATACTTTTTTGGTTGTTGTTTTGAATTGTGTGATTGCCTCGAAAGATTGTCAGAGTTCATTAGACACTCTTGGAATACAGTTTATGACTGTCCTTATGATATGAATCCCAAAATTGTTTCTGTGAGCCAAAAAAGCATGGAGATTTTTGTGCCTTGCAGTTTTTAGTGCTGCATTTTGTGAATATCACCAAATACTAGGGTTTAAATGAGTGTATAGTAGAGTAGGGAAGGAGATTTTTCAGTTCTTATTTAAATTTTACCTTCTACAA